ATGCACACCTCCTTCTTCGTGGGGCTTGATAAAACACAACTTGGAAGGAAGGAAGACTAACGCGATCAGAAAGCATCGAATCATGTCGGCGAAGCAGTGCTGTGCCTGGCGTGAGTATTCTGGCTTCACACCTTTCTTCTGAGTCGGGAGGACCTGCCCTCATTCTCCTTATCACCCAGCCTCTCCAGATTGGAAATCTCGGCATCACCGGCAGCTTCCTGTTCTTATTTACTTTCTGGGACGGGTTTATGACCAAATCTTCCCAATTCTGGCTCAGATATAGCTCTCAAGTCCAGTCATTGCTATTCACACCACAGCCAACACTTGATCTAAGGCTTTATCCCCTGGGCTACTTAAGAGCCATTTAAAATAATTTTCCTAAGTGCTGCTAATAATAGCGAACACCTATGCAGCGCTTATGAAGTGCCAAGAACTTCATAAGAGCATTTACCCTCACAACCATGCTATGAGATACACACAATTATTATCCCTGTTTCCCAGAGAAGGAGAAGGGAGAACAGAGAGGTTAAGTAACCTGCCCAAGGTCACACAGTCAACCTGCCCAAGGTCATACAGTGGAAATGAGATTTGACTCAGGTGGCCTATTTCCAGAGTCTCTGCTCTAATGACTAAAGCATACTGCTTCCGTATTCACTTACTCTATTGTTACTTTTTGTTGTTGTTGCACTTTTTTGAAGATAGTACAATTGTCTGATTAAAGATTCAAAAGCTACAGAAGAGTGTATTAAAAAGCCTCCTTTCTGCCCCAGTTTCCCATTACCCTGGCCCCTGTTCTGGAAGTAACCAGCATGACTAGTTTCTTTTACAGCACTCCAAGCAAATGCCTCTATGTTATTTCCCCTCTTCTTTTTCGGCACACAAATATAGTATGCTGGGTACCATTTGGCATGTTGCCTTTTTCACTAAACAACACGTATTGAAGGTCATTCCATATCAGTACATCAGGAATGCCTCATTCTTTCTTCCCCACTTCTTTCTGTTTTTTAAGACAGATGGTCGACACTCAGGATGGGCAAACTTTTTCTGTAAAGGGCCAGATAGTAAATATTTTAGGCTTTGAGGTCCATATGGTCTCTGTCACATATGCTGCTGTTGCTTCCTTTTAAAAGAAAAAAATCCTTAAAAATGTAAAACCCATGCTCGTCTCACAGGTTGTACAGAGACAGGCTGCAGGCCAGCTTTGGCCTGAGGCACCGCATCGCGTCCATCCCTGAACCCACGGGTCCTCACCTCACCTCATCCTTCTCTCCTCTGATCCCTCTCAGAGTAGAAAGAGTCATCTTTCTCTAAAATGAGACCGATGCTGCCACTGCTCCCTTTGAATCTTTCACGGCTCCCCACTCCCAAGAGGGTGAAGTCTAGTCTGCTTGGCAGTGCATACAATGTTCTTCAAGGCCCATGTGCTTCTCCTCATCTCCGAGTCTACTCTGCTCTGGTCTTTGCCTCTGTCAGCTCTTTCCTTCAACTCCTGCAATGACCTCTCTGCCCCACGATAGCCGTAGACCTCCCTTCCCCCAAATCCAGTCTCCAAACCGCAGTTCCAAAGAACTTTCACAAGTGGGAATCCCATCTGGGGACCTCTCATGGCTGTTGCTGCCCTAGAAGAAAGTCAATGCCCCTATCATGGTGTCTACAAGAACTGCCAGCTCTGCTCAGCCCTCCCCTCCGACTTCACTGCTATGGTCCTCTCTCCTTCCACTCCCTCCTCTCCAGCTACACTGTTTTTTTTGGTCCCTAAGACAAGCCAAGTTCATTTCTGCCTTTGTGGGGCTGTTCCCTTGACTGACTCCTTTTTGAGGTACCATCTCAGTTCCGACGCCACTTCCTTACGAGGCCCTCTCCGTCTCCCACCCTACAGGGGCTTCCCACTCGCCCTCCATCCCATCACCCTGCTTGTTTCTTTATGGCCTTTGTGGCCATCTAAAAAATCACATCGGGTTGTCTTTACAGTCTCTCCTCTGCCAGAACACATGGGCCTCCCTCGTGCCCGGCACATGGTCTGACACACATTAGATGAACAATCAACATTTTTGATTTGATAGACAACCGAAGAATTTCAAGCCAACGTGCTTTTGCTGGTGGACCTCTCTGTACTCTTCATCTTATGTGTTTGTCTCCGGTTCTATTGGTCTTCTCACTAATCACTGAACATGAATTTCCTTCTTAAGGTTTTACACTTTTGTACATGTTATCATTTTGGTTATTTCTTCCTTCTCTGAGGGATAAACTCCTACTCACCCATCAGCACCCAGATCAAATGTTACCTCTTCTATGGAGTTTTCACCTCTTCCAGCAAATGTCAATTTCCTTCCATTGGCAGACTCCCAGAGTATTCAAAACAGAATACTCAGTGGTGAAGCCATTCCCTGAAATCACCTGGTTTGTAGGTAATTGACCTCAGGACTGTCTAAATATAAGGCCTGTACTATTTTTCACCACTGCCTCTGGACCACAGTTGCTAAAAAAAAAAAAAAAAAAAAAAATGGTGACAGACCACCACAGGTGCTTGTGAGGTTTCAGGGCCTCATCCTGATCAAGCAAGTCACTCAGAATTTCCAAAACTTGGAGCCCCAAACTTGCATTTTAATCAGGCATTGTAAGACTTGCATGTAACCAGGTCAGTGATTCTCAAATTTCCATTTACTTCTCTGGGGGATCGTGTTAAAATTCAGATCCTGACTTGTCAGGTCCGCAGGGGAGCCCAGACACTCTGACAAACTCCTCAGTGATGTTGATGCCTCTGGTCCCAGGGCCACACTTTGTACAGACCTCCATAATCACAGTGGGCCATAATTATTTACCTACCACAAATGTTTATTGACTGATTTAGTTATACCCAGAATACCTCCCAAATATCTCATATATATAAACTCTTTTCATCTGACCTATAATGAGCTCCCTCCGGGAAGGGACACCTTGAATGGCATTTAAACGGTAAGTATGAGCACAAGAGAGTGACTATCTTGCACCTAGCCCTGTGCTAAGTGTATTATGCACATTGTCTCATCGAACTCTCATAATTACCACAAGGAGGCAGCTACTATTATTATCAGCACTTTACAGATGGGAAAACTGAAGCCCAGTGAGGCTAGGTAACTTGTCTCTGGTGGATCTGGAATCCGTCACCAGGCTGTCCTGCAGCTGGCCGTGGTAGGGTGGTCCTTTGAAGGTGGCTCTTTCAAGCCTGTGTGTGCTTGAGCTTGGCACGTATCGGGGAATGGGGGTGGTGTCCTGTCTCCCTTTGCTGAGAGGTGGGGGCACAGCTCTGTTCAGAGAGGGGTCAGCTGGGACTCTCTCCCTCCCCTGCAGCAAGGTTCTTCCTTGTGGGGCACAGCTGTCCCTCTGCCAGCCAGATGGAGAGGCACAGCAATGAGGCTGCCCTCTGCACACCTGTGACCATGCCATCCCCAAGGGCAGCCAGATGTCCCTGGGGCCTGCCTCCTGTTGCCACATGCTGCTTATCCATGTGACATAAGCCGCTCTGCCAGCTCCCTCTCGAGCTAATGCAAAGGGACCACAGGGCTCTGGGCCGGAGGGTAAGGAGCCTGGAAGGCACAGAAGTCAAGGGCAGAAGGAGCCGCAGGCGCTTCTCTCTCCTTTCAACAGAGAAACCTCACGTAGGAAAGGAAGATGTAATTCCTATCAGGGAATCAGGGCAACAGGCAACAATTCACATTTCCCCCGCAAGAAGTACATACTCCCTCTATTGCAGAATATTTCCTGGTTAAAGGAGGAGAGAGGACTGGTCACACTGGCAGTAGTCTGGTTTCTTTCTGTGGGCGCTGTGTCACTTTACAGCTCACGGGGAAATTTCTGTTTCAAGGGTGGGCTTCAAACTGTGGGGTGGTGCTTCTCAAAGTGTGGTCCTGGGACCAGAGGCATCAACATCACTGGGGAGTTTGTCAGAGTGTCTGGGCTTCCCTGCGGACCTGACAAGTCAGGATCTGAATTTTAACATGATCCCCCAGAGAAGCACATGGAAATTTGAGAATCACTGACCTGGTTACATGCAAGTCTTACAATGCCTGATTAAAATGCAAGTTTGGGGCTCCGAGTTTTAGAAATTCTGAGTGACTTGCTTGATCAGGATGAGGCCCTGAAACCTAACAAGCACCTGTGGTGGTCTGTCACCATTTTTTTTTTTTTTTTTTTTTTTTTAGCAACTGTAGTCCAGAGGCAGTGGTGAAAAATAGTACAGGCCTTATATTTAGACAGTCCTGAGGTCAATTACCTACAAACCAGGTGATTTCAGGGAATGGCTTCACCTCACTGAGTCCCAGTTTCCTCATCTATAAAATGGAGATACTGATGTCTATACCTTCAGTGGTGAGGTTTAATAAGAGCCTTGCATCTGTGGCACACAGTAGGTGCTTGATAAATGTTAGCTTTTATAACCACTAGGTTCAACAGTTCAATTGGTTGTGCATTGAATAGTGGGTTGGGCCAGAGAGTGTTAATTTCAATGACAGGAACAAGGAAAGCAAAAGGGGATTAATTTCTGAGAAGGCAAAAGGTATCATGGCTGTGGTTTCTCTGTTATTTAATCCTGACCTTTAAGACACAGAGAAAGGATTAACGCAGCACCTATCAAAATTCATCATACATTAAAAAAATCCCACCTAGGAGGCTAATGAGCAATGTCAACTCCTGGAGCTCCTTCCCAGAGATCTTATTTCATTAGGTCTGGGATATGGTCCAGGATCTGCATTTTCATCCCCAGGAGATTTTGATGCAGTAATCCTTTAACCTCACCCTGAGAAAGAGTGGCTTAGAGAATATGCATGTTCCTTCACTAAATACCTTGACGCAAGCAAGGCCCTGGGGTGGCACTGAGAAATGTACACAAGGATGCATAAGAACCTACCCGGTGTCTGCCCAGTAGGGAGCCAGGACCTCCAAGGAGGATTTGAGGTCTATACTGCTATATTAGGACACCAATAAGAGCAACAGTCCAAAGGAACCATGAGAAAATTCCATACCTGGGCTTCGACTACTTCAATGTTATGGGAGAGATTTCCGTTTTGTACGGGTTCTGAAGCGTCGCTGGGTGTCGTCAGTTCAACATCTGTGCTGGTGCTGTTTGGGAGTTCGATTTTTTCTGTGACATAATTTAAATACACACACAAAGAAAACAAATGGAGTCAATGGGGGTGAAGAGTCATATTGAAAATAACATTCTAAAATGTTGGGCCAAAGGAGAGGAAAGTGGTGTCTAAAGGGTGATAAGGCCCAGGACTGGCATTGAGCTGACTGGCAAAGAAATTTTCCCTTCTTCCTCACACCTTTCAGCCTCATGCCCTCTCACCTCTCTCATAGCTCTCTGGCCTCCCACTGTGGCATGATGTCTCATCTTGAGTGTACCATCAGCTGCCGGGACATGCCTTTTCTGGTCTAGGCAAATTTATCAACTAGTCATTCAAGACTGTGAACACAGCCATTTTTTAACATTTTTGAGTTGGAGGTTCACCTTGGTGCTCTGGATAGAGTGCAGTGGCATGATCACAGCTCACCACAGCCTCTGCCTCCTGGGCTCAGGTGATCCTTCCATCTCAGCCTCCCGAGTAGTTGAAACTACAGGCACGTGCCTCCATGCCCAGCTACTTTTTTGATTTTGTGTAGAGACAAGGTCTCGCTATGTTGTGCAGGCTGGTCTCAACCTCCTGGGCTCAAGCAATCCTCTTGCCTCGGCCTCCCTAAGTGCTGGGATTACAGGCATGAGCCACCATCCCTGGCTCTGAACACAGACATTTTAAAACCAACACCATACCCAACGTACACACTAATGTCAATACCCAGGACCATAGCCCTCAGCTATTTTCTTCTAGTAGGATCTCTTTTTTCCTTCTGCACTCTGGAAAGGATATTGACCAGGGCATCAGGTCCTAGACTTTACTCTGCCACAATCTGGGCTTAGGCAAGCACCCTGTCCTCTGGGACTTGGGAACCTTGTCTGTGAAATGATGGGGTTCAACAGGTTGACCTCCAAGAGCCACTGTTTTTAGCTCTAATTTGCTCAGGCTCTGTGAGGGGAAACTTCCAGTGCTTAGGTGGCCATAGCTGGGGCAGGCTTGGAAACCTGGCGTTTCTCAAAATGCCTGGAGAATATAGTTAGCATCCTCCAAACTTAATACCCTTCTGCAGGCAAGGCAAGGAGAAGCCGAACAGGTAATAGAGGCCAAAGTCTGTGTCAGTCCTGCATAAGAGAGAACATTTGGCCAGAGTGAAGCCAGAGGTCACCAGAGGTCAAGTACAGAGTCGAGTTTTTCTCTGACTGTTGAGAAGTGACTTCAGGGTCACAGTTAAGCACTGGTACTCTGACACTGGGAATCAGACAGATCTGGGTTCATACTTTGGCTCTACGACTTATACTGTGTGGACCTTAGCCAGTGACTCAACTTCTCTGAAATTCAGTTTCTTCAGGTGTAAAATTGGTGTGATGATCACAATACGACTACTATTAGGATTACTGCTGTGGCTGCTACTATAATTGCTAACAACAACAATAATAGGGTTAGAGGGTACGTCTGTAAAGATTAAATAAGGAAATGAACACCAGGTACTTAGCACAGTACCTGGAACAGAGCAAGCAGGCAAGAAACATAAACTATTTGGTTCCTCATCACACTGTCTGCCTTCAATGAGAAGACTTTTTTTCATAACTAAGAGGAGCACTTCAAGGTGATCAGTGCTCGGGTACCACTGACTTTAGTGTGAGGGATGTAAAAAGGTTCCCACTGCAACCACCAACTCTGACTGTGCTAGGTCATGTCTGGTCTCAGAAGAGAATGAAGCTGTGTAGTGTACCGTCAGGGCTGCTGGTGTATCGGAATGTTCATCGGCATCAGATCTGGGAAGTATCAGGCTGCCCATGAGGTCTGAGAATATATTTTCTTTCTAGCGACTTCAGAAGGACCAGACATTTCTATCACTGGTGCTTAAGAAAATAATTTGAGAGTTACGTAAAATTTGTTGGGCTTGAAGCAGCCAAATTTTGGAAATCACAGGGAAATGTTTATGTTTATTTATGTATTTCGTTGTGGAATACAGACACATAAATAGACTTAAATATGGAAAACCATAGAAACTCGAATTTACTTTATCTTTCCAAGTTTTTCGTAGTGACAGTGATATGTATGTGATGTTCTGCTTCACGTGGCTATGCCAGTTTATCTTGGTATGTTTGATGCAGTTGTTTAAATAAAAAATGCTAAGTACCTTGAGGAATATTAAAGCTCTGTTTGCTCCCAAACACTTCAGTCTGTTGGCTGAAGTGATTCAATCTTAGGATCAGCGTGCAGTGGGCAAACTTAGCTCTAGCTAGCAGCAAAAGAAACCGCGTAGCAAAAGGGAATTAAGATGTCCAAGAACAGACATGAACAGCTGAGAAGAAACTACCCGCCAGGTAGAAAAGCTAACTTGAGTATGCATATCTTCACTTGTAAATTGCTTTCCACATGGCAGACCGAGGTCTCATCACCAAAGAAAACATAAAAATAAATCTTGAACTTTGAAAAGCACAGATTTTAGACACATGGATGAAAGCATGGATTTGACACATTATTTTGTAGTTACAAAGTCATTCAGAGACCCAATCAACATCGGAAGGATCCTTGGAGGTACGTGTGCTACCTCTTTATAAAAGGTTAAATTCAAGTCTAAGGTCAGCCAGTCATTAGGAGGAGGGCTGGCATTGAACCCAGGAATCTAAGTCTTTAATGAGCTACTTCATTCAACAGAAGAGAAATCAACAAGTGGAGCAGGAAAAACAGCTTGTGTAATGAACCTAAATACAACAAACAAAATTTAACCTATGCAATAGGCCTTCACGATGTGGCCTTACATTTTTAGAATATAAAAGCAAAATATGCTCTAAAAAACTTTAAGTTCATAGAAGCACAAAGAAGCAGAGCAAAAGAATAATATATATATATATTCCTAATCCCAACTTTAAGAAGTCACTAATGTTAACATTTTAGCTGCCTTCCAGTTTTTCTTTTTGTACCCAATTGAATCTTGACTGTCTTTTGGCCAAAAATTTTCCCTGAGCTAGAAGTCAGGATAACAGGAGAGGCAGAAATTCTTCTACGGAGTGTCATGTATTTTGAGTGCAACACTGCGGAATTTTGTCTGCAGATAATTTTAGTTACTTGGGTAATAGCTTCGTTTATAGCATAGATCCAGATCAGGTTAAATTTAGTTTGAATTTAGAATCAGAGAGCTATATTATAGTTACAGACAGGAGAGAAGGAACATCATGTTCCCAGTTAAAATAAGATGCCTGAATGTCACAATCTGGTCACACCGGAGATCTGCAAAAGTCAGCCCAAAGAGACCTGGGCTGATGTTGCTGGATTCTGAAGAAGGGCGAAGCGGCATCATCTCAGAGAGACTCTGTCACTCAGTTTGAGAGTGACCAAGTGGTAATTTAGTGGGTGTGCCATAAACAATGCTATAGGTATACAATCTGGTTACCAGGCAAGAATTACAGGAGGATTCCCACCTTGGTTAAACACTAAAAGATGAGCGTGTGTGTATCTGTGTGTGTGTCTTTTGCATGTGGAATTCCTGAAATAAAGTGGTTTTCTGCCCCTGAATGGAGATGCCTGGTTAGGAGTGGGTTTCGCTTCAGGCTCCTTAGAGAATGATTTTTTTTTTTTTTTTTGAGTTGGAGTC